TTTTTAATATGTGTATTTATTTACTTATATGAAATAATCTTTGAAACTATTGAACTATTGAACAAATAATCTTCGAACGAATTTCTAATAAACTTCATTTCAAATTGCTAATTTTACTACTTAAGTATTTTCATTAAATTAAAAAAATATAAAAACAAAATTATTTTCCCAGTTCGGGTAATTATCTTAAACAGCTTTGATGAAATAATTAAGTCATTTTTTTACGTATTTGGGTTGTGGAATAATTTAATCAAATGTATATGCTTTTTTAGTATTTTATATAGTAATTTTAATTAGTTCAATGGCAGTTAACCCCTTGAGATCAAACAGTGTGGAATATATAATATATATTAAAAATAAAGTAAAGTATATTCTTTTGATATTCGTCACAAATGAATAGAAGAGAACAGCTTAATGAGTATTTAGTAAAAAAGATGATATTTAAGTTCGCTGACAGACACAAAGAAATTCAAACAATTGTTTATTTAGTAATTTTAATTTACACCTCCACAGGTGACCCACATCCCACCCATAGTTTAATCTTGCCCCACCTATGTCACTCCTTTACAGCAACATATTAAAAAAATTGACGTAAAACGAACATTAAATTTTTGAATAGCAACTCATATCATCTTATCATTTATTTGGATTAAATCGCAACTAAATAAATCTAAGTTGGTTCAAAGCCACAAGAATTTAATATTTGAGTAGGTTAGAACAAAATGAGACCGACTAATGTAAACTTATATTAATCTCAAATTTCATAACTGGACAGGCTTCTATTAGCTATGTATCAGCTTTTCAAAAAGGAACACTGATACGATACGATATTATAAACTACAGAGCGTCTTTAACAGCTCCTGTTCTGAGATTGACAGCAAACAGACCTATTACTTCCACTTTTATTTTTTTTTTAAATTAATAATGTTTTGAGTGCTGAAATGAAAGATACTTTCCTGAATATGTCTATAAGCTATTGTCCGACCAATTACTTAGGAAACTTTTTCTAGGAATACTCCAATAGTATTCACAGATCGTTATTCATCTAAACTAGATATTTAGGTAATAAACTTAAGAACATGAAAGCAGACATTAAAAAGACTATTAGGCCAGTTATATATGAGTTATTGAATTTCGTGCTAATAATATAGTTAGTATATAGTTAGTTCTATGTAATTGAAAAATTGTAAAAGTGTTTTATTTTAACCACAGATTAGAGTCAATTTTTTATATTGATATTAGATAAATATAAACATAATTGGAAATGAAAATATATTTCTTGAAAGTTCTAATAATATTACCATTGTAATAAAATTGCTTATAGAATTGAGTAGAATATTGTACTTCCCATACCTATGACATAGAAAATCTGTTAAAGTGAGAATGTATATGAGAGATAAATTTTAGTAAATCTAACTACAAACGATTTTTTCTAAGTTTTTACTATTGGAATACTAATTAAAGCAATCAATGACTAAGCAGAAATTTATTAGAGTAATTAATTTAATTAACTTTTCATATAAAGTTTCATAAAGGTTAAACCTTTAATATCAAATGTTCTTTTTTTATTCTTTTTTATCTATTATTAAAAAAAAAGGAGAAAACCCATTTAAAAAAGCAGTTTATATATTATAAAACTATAGTTAATAGTCCGTTGAATGCACATACGAGTATTGCATAATTTAATAAATGCAATTGCCTTGTTTTTTATTTGGTGCACGTTATTTTAATTCATGGAACTTTAATTGTAACAATTAAATCCATTTAAAATCGATCGTAACATTATACAAATGCTTAAAAGTAAAATAGTATCTAATATATCAAATGATTGTTTAACATTATACAAATGCTTAAAAGTAAAAAAGTATCTAATATATCAAATGATTGTCAAAGCGATTGCATGATGACACATAAGATACTACGTAGAATAATAATGAAAATATTGTCGGAAGTGTGGAAAGAATAAAGAAAGCCATTCTCATTCTACAATATTTAATAAATTTGCAACAATTCAAATAAAAATATCTGACGCTACTAGACGAGATATGTGATTCGTATCTTTCAATCTATTTATAAGATATCTTAGAAACATCAGGCCATAACTGCAGCATCTTGCGATAGAAGATATATATATTTAATGTATATGAATTCTTACTGAAGCGAAATAAGTTTGTCTTAAGTGCTAATTATTTTGTTGAGTGAATATATAATTAAATGCAATATACAAAAATCTGTTTCAGTTATGGGATATATTTTCAAAGAATAATGATTGATGTGTTTTAATTTGCTTTATAATAAAATAAGTAATAAAAACCATTTAAACGTAATAAAATAGTAAAATAAGAAAATAATTGAAAATTTAATATTAGAAAAAACTCAGAATCTTTAATAAACACAATAACAAATTATAAAATAATATATGTACATATATAAATAATCTATAGTCAAGTATAGTCTTCTATGATTTTAAATGACAGCCATTACTGCTAGATTTATAGACTGAATTATAAAATCTTAGGCGTAAATTATATCAAAATGCATGGAAGAAGAATATAGGAAATTTGTTGGACAATCTACAGTGAGTTCCAGAAGTCGTTTAAAAACAATCTGTTGATTTATGTTTGGTTAATGCTCATGTTTTTGCAGGTAGTACTTAAAAGGAAGAGGTAAATGAAGTTATAATATGGATGCTATTGCTGAAGTGATGCCGATTTACATACCAATAAATAAAGATTTGAGAGAGAATTCTAAACAATAATAGTGAAATAGTATGAAGGTATTATACTATATATAAGGTGGCTATATATTTACATAGCCACCTTCTAATAATGAAATCACCATAGCTTATATGACCATTGGTAATGAATTTATTATTGTTTTAATAAAATTAACTAGTTCACTGAGTCTTCTTTTTCTCTTCTCTCTCTTCTATTTTTTTTTAAAGATGCTAATCTCATAAAAACTGTGTTCTATTTTCATAGAGAAAGTTTTTAGTTAAATCTTCTTTTCACAAAATGTTTTAATTAATTTCTTTTTTTAGTGCTTTAAAGTTATATAAATTTTATTACAGTGTACATCATAATATACTTTAAATTTTATGTTCTCTTTAAATAAATAAGGTTTTTTTTGCTAATCTAAAGGGTCTTATCTGTACTATAAAAAAAATAAAAAGTCAAGTCAAATTTATATTAATAAGGGTATAAAGTAATAGTGGTATATATATAGTACAGACTATATAAAAAAGTAATTACAAAACCAATAAGAATTATTATTCATAAACCTACGTACCATAAACCCATGATATACATACATCATCCTAAAATCATATGTAAATAGTAGTCATATGCCATACATCTAATAAAATGTTTCATTCATTGAATCATTATTATAGCATTGGTTATAGATAAATTATTTTATCTATTCCCAACAATGAGTAAAAATTCTTAATAATTGACTAATTTTAATTCAGACTCATTTAACAAAAAACGTTGAATAGAAAATTTCAAAGATACAAGTCGGAGAGTACGTCAATTATCATTTTCTTAATATATAATAATAATTATTTCTTCAGAAATTAATTCGCATAATACATCAACACTTCAACATTGTTGAAAAAAATACAGACACAGACACAGATACAGATAATTTAAAGAGAACTAACCAGAGCAAGTTAATGACTTGGAAAAGTAAAAAAAATATTTACGGAGGCAATATCGATGACCTCATTGGTAGTTCTGTGTAAAATTGTAAAGAAACGTTTTGGTTGAGCTTTGAATTTAAGTGTTTTACACTTTTTATATAAGTAGCTATATACATATAAATAAATTGTATAGACATACAAAATTGTCAGTCGATAATTGGTAGAACCAAGTATAGAGATACGCTTAAATGACGATGCAAAGTGAATGATTAATTTTTACACATGAAATTGAGCTCAAAAACAAATTATTTTACAAAAACGAAAAATAGACAAAATTTTTATGTTTTTATTTGCCGGTAAAAAATTTTAAACAATTAACTGAACTTTAAAACCCGGCTTCGACCCTGCTCAGTCACCATTGAGTACCGAGCGCATGACATCATCCGGCTGTTTTGGAAATTTTTGTGAGTCTTTATATTTGCAGAGATGTTGTTTGTTCTTATGTGACTTATTAACAAAACACGCAGTAAAAGTATTTGCAAAAAAAAAAACAGTTAAATATTCTCAATCTTATTTTTAAAACAAAGAAGATTGCAGAACTTGCTTGTGATTCTTAAAATCGGTTGCAGAAAATTAGCACAGTTCGGACATGGAAGATGCACGAATAACAAAGATACGGTTTAAGAAGGTAATAATTTAATTTAGGTAAAAAAATAAATTTACGAATTTTTTATCATTCCTAGAATAATATGAAATAATTTCATACTAAACTCAAACTCCACTATTCAATTTCATTTCACTCCTTTAAAAACCTCCCATTATTTGAGCTCAAGTGAGCTTTGGGCGCTAATTCGCTACTTTAACTAACTTTAACCTAACCTAACACTACTAAAACCCAGTATAATTTTAGTAAGCAGTCTAGTTGTAGAATTGTTAGCGTGCTGCGATAGGATATAATAAAGAGGTTTTGAAGATACCCCGCAGTCAATAGAGAGTAAAAGTGCTTAAGTGCACTGGCTCAACTAGCTTCAACATAATATGACCTAGATTTACATTTATTTAAGTCTTAAAATCTACCCCATATGATATGCAAATAACAATCTATAAATATCGGTCTTATAAATCGCATTAGACGATAAAGTGGTCATACATCACATTAGTATCATAGGTTCTTAAACTTACAGCTGAGATTTGTACTCGAGTTTCCAAGATCTAAGAAAGAAGTTCAAGATAATTATAGAAACACATTATTGAGAGGAAAAGAAAACA